TTCTTCTAATTTATCATGATATTTTTTCATTTCATAACAAGACACATTTCATTAGAAAAAAAATCGGAATTTTTCGTTCACTTTCAATCAATATGAACGTTTTCATTTCCAACAACACAACATACTTAAGAGTAACATGTGCCGATATTATTTTATAGTTTTCACTTAATTACAAATATATATATAATATTAACAGTATTAATAAAATCCAATTGAAAATAAATCTTGTGATATTGAATCATTAAAATTTAATGCTACCACATTACAAATATGGAAGTAGATTGTGCCGACTGGTGTAATACAATCTATATTTTTGTCTTTATCATTTATTTTCGGACTAAATTGAGTTGGCGTAGGTGCATTCGCAGATGAGTAAAGATTTCAATTAGCGCAGATTGATTTACGCGCGACAACGTGCAAAAATAATAACACCTTTTACGAGGCTGGAATAAATAAGATAAGGAGGCTGCTTTGCATTTATGAAACAAACGGCGGAGGGCAGAAAAAGAGAGAAGCGAGAAAACGATGATCGTTAATTTTTAACACCTCTGAGCTGGGCAGACGGAGAAGAAAAGAACAACAGGAATAAGCAGAAGAAGGCCCAGCAAGGATAAAGTTTATTATTGGACCGGAATGCCTTTTCGTTATTCCTGTCTCGTTGTGATGCGAATTGCATTCCGCCGTTGACAACGCGGCTCCCTTTTATCTCGCGAATTTCTTCAAATTGCAACTCCTCGTCCAGCTACTCTTTTTTCTGCTACTCGTATCTGGTCTGCTTTTCTCTCTGTGTGAGAGTGTGCGTTTTTCATCTTCTTCCCTTTTGTTCCTTTTTACTTTATTTCTCTGAGGCGAGAAAGGTAAAAGGAGAAATAACTGAAACAAGGGCTGAAATACATTTTAATGATGGCGGACTGGGGAGGCGTCAGGTGTTTTCCTGAAACGAACGTAGGCGGCGGCGGTGAACGGAGGAATCCCCTCGTTCTTCGGTCGTTTTGGTGCGGCGCAAGAGGGCTTTTCGTAAGGGATGTCTGGTTTTGTGTGTGTGTCTGTTTGCACCAATATGAAACATTAAGTTTTATCGCATCAATTATGACCTCCTGGTGTATATATGTATATATTGCATGGAAACGCTGGGGGATGAAGGGCGTAAAGGCAATTGGATATAAACCGGCAATAAAACTCCATCGGTCGTCGATGGATCGAAATTAATTTTTAATACCAGCTGGCCGTTGATTCGCGTGACTTTCGGTGATACACCACCCTACATCCTCCCTCTTCCCCTCTCACACAAACCGAAATTATCCAACCATAAAAACATCCGCAACTAATTAATTGCTAATGCGTAATTTACGATATTAAAACTGGACGACAAACAAAACAAAGCGAACTAAACCAAACAAAACAAAAACAAACAAAACGTACCGAATCCCCCAAAGGGCGTAAAAAACGCAGCACCATTAAACGGAAAGGATTTGGTGCGTAACAATTGGAAATTATTATGTAATGCACTTTAATCGCTCCACCGTGCATTAATTCAATGTTAAATACAACACGCGGTTGGACTTTTTTTTACTTTCATTCGTTTAAAACTGATCGATTTTTCGATGCATTTATAATAAGTCATTATACTTTCGATTTTTGTTGAAAGTAACAATACTTTTCTTTAAATTAATAAATTTAAAATAACAATATACACGTATATAATTAAAACACTTAAAATTGTTCAATTTTTCATTGAATATACGAAAATTTTTCTTTAATTTCAATGTTTTAGATATAATTATAGAAATACTAAATTCAATTTCCATCAGACTTTATATTGAATTGTAGAAGCTTCTAAAATAGAAGTATTGCAAAATGTGTCAAACAAATAGTGGATGAAGATAATGTTTAATTCGAATCGAAAGCAAACACCAAAAGAAATAACACTTTATTTGTTGGATGAGTGAATTTCCGATTATTCAATTTCATCTTCAGTATCGAATGATGCTGAGTAACGCGATACGTGAAAATAAAAATATAAAAAAATACCAATTTTATATTAGCAATAATTCATGGATGTTTATTTACGTTTGCGATTGGTATTGCGTTCGCTTCGATATGAATTTATTAAAATATTGGTTTTGTACTGTTGTATTCAATTTCGGAATTAGCATATGAGCATCCATCATTTCCCAAATAAGTTCATGAAGATATCAAATAGCATGCATGTTATTTCTTCGTTTCGTTTCTTATCGATTGATTACTTTTATTCAGATTTAAGTGCCAGCAGTCGATAGTATAAACACATTAAATTCTAATTAGCATATATACGCATCATTTCCAAATATGTGCAGATGTTGATGAAGATATCGAATAGCATAACTTTTATGTAATTTTTTTGTTTCAATTTATTTTATTTGCGTTCGTAGTTAGCAAATTAGAATGTGATTTGTGCGCTATTTGGTAGAAAACTTTGTGAAGTGTTAGTGGAATAGTTGTGAAGTCATGCGGGTAAAGGCATTTTATGTCTGGACGATGAGACAGTTTAGGTGCAAAGTTTGGTCTAGCTTATCGATCGGAAATAACCGTTCATCGCATTCCCGTTTTTCTGAGGGTAAAATTTTGAAATCTTGCTAGTCTACTCTTTTTTTTTGTTGTTTGTATTTGTTAGCACATCTACTCAATATTCGATGGTTCCGATCCGGTTTGAGGGATCGGGATTAAATTAAACTACCGGGAATAATCCACGGATATTTGGAACACACTTCGTGAGACAAAGCAATTTTCGCCGCCCCCTCAAGGCTTTTTGGTTTCGAGCTTCGCGGGGGGCGGTTGTTACGGGGGGTGGAGGCGGCAGCAATGGCGGTTAAGAAGGGGGAGGGTAGATGCTCGGCAGGCAGTCGGCAAAGAGCCGCGGCCATAAAACTTTATGGACTGAATGCACAATACATCCATTTACTTTCAAATGTGAAGGAAATACAATGTTTCAACAACCGTCCTTTTTCCCCCCTTTCTTCTAGTCGCATTGCTTTTGGTGCTGCTGCTGCTTCTGCTCAGCCATCGTCAGGTTTTTAAAATATTCAACGAGTACGCAAATTGAATAGGTGCCATTAAGTCTTCCCCGATTATTTATCGACTTTCCCCCCTTCGCGACAAAGACGAAGTAATGAGCGAATCAGCTTCCATTAGGCGCCGGCACATCCTCTTAAGGAGATAAATCAAAACCGTTTCCCTCGTTTAATTATTTCTTCAGTTTTCTGAAGTAAAGTGGTCGCGTGATAATGTAAATAAAATATCGAGTTTCCCGTGAGGAAGTCCAATCGAAAACCCACCTTCTCCCTCTTTTCTTTAGTCGCCTCCATCGCCGCCGCCGCTCCCCGTATGAAATATGCAATGGCCTAAAAGACTTTCGGAATTGCTAGAGAATCAATTGGAATGATATATTGGTCATAAACTGGAACCGGGCGGAGATATTGAATTTTCTTTGCACCAATATCATCCGCACTAAAGCGATTTTTTCTTCCTTCAAGAGCCTTCCTCGTCCACATCTATAACGCATTAAAAACTGCTGAAATTTCAATATATATATTTTTTACTACCGCTATGGCAAATTATGGGTAGCTATTTTTAAACACACAAGTTGCTACACCTTTTCTCCATTTACATTAATGCCTCAACACCATTTAGATAAGATAATTAAACTTAATATATATATAAATAAAATACTTTTTCATACACTCGTATTATATCATTAAAGTTTGATGATACAACGTATGCTCTAATTATTTGATTTGTTTGATAATATTTTGATGAATAGCTTTAATTATTACTATCTTATTTGATAATAATTTACTTTATTATTAATCTACAAGATACGTTTTATACATAATGAAACTTGTTAAACCTAATGTAGTAGATCTAAAAGTCAATTAATTATCTTCATTGTAGTAGCAACTTGTTGTTCATAAATTATAATGTGAAGAATAGCTTTCTCTTGGTTGTTTAGTGATACACTCCGAGGGGTGAAATACTAGATATATATGAAATGAAATGCGGGCGAAGTTCCCGTTTCACTGACTGATTTAATTAAAAACTTTTCCTAGTCGACAGCTCGAACAAAGACTGCTTTTCCGTTTTTGTAAGTGAGAGATTTCGCGTTCCGCTAATTTTCCGTGCGAAAATCTTATCTCTTTTTCTTTTTCATTTGTTTCTCATTTCATCTATTTCGTTTTTTCCCTTTGAAAACCGAGTCTAAGTGCGAAATGCATGGGAAAACTTGAAAGTGGTCGCCCCTTTGTGGCACACACGGGCCGCATAAAATACGTTACACGCATGGAAATAAACCGAAGAATGAAGGAAGAAGAGAAAGATAGAACGAGAGAGAGAAACGTGTTTTCGGTCTGCGAGTCCGAACAAAAATCAGTAATAAATTTTAATTAAATACGAGCACTTCTGTGCACAGCATCCTTATTAATTAAAACAAATTTATATTTATACGAGGATGGAGGATGTGAGCTCTCGTGAACCTGCATGGTTCGAATTAAAAACTTTCGATGCGGAATAAAAAGCGCATGCTATAGACGCGAAGATGCGCCTCGTGATATGATGATGATGCTGATGATGATGGTGGTATTCCCTCTCCGGTGTCTCCAAATGAAGTTGCAAAGTGAGTCGCATTTATTATTAGCTCGGACACAGTGGACACCATTCAGAGGATAGATATAACACAGTTGGTTCTCTTTAGCTATCTTTGCGCTCATTTGCTGCTAGCCAGGTTGCTCCTTTGGTGGCCGTACGTGCAAAATTTACAAAGCAAAGAGCCAACAATTATACGCGAATGCACCTAACTCTGATGGGATTAAAACCGCATCAAAAACACCTACGACTTTATTTAGATATCAAAGTACATTCCGGGAATAGCCTAACATGTTTTTATTTTGTTCTCCTTCTATTTCACTTGTTATGGTAATCAGTAGACGTATTCTTATGGAGATGTTTTTTGTTGTTGCTGTTTGCAGTCTTGCGCGATGATTTTCGCGTGATCCCGACTGACACGAGAGTAGCGGCTGGGGAGACGGCATTGTTGCAATGCACTCCTCCGAAAGGCCACCCCGAGCCGACGGTAATCTGGAAGAAGGATGGAAAGAACCTGGATCTAGATGAGAGGAGGATGCACATCGTGGATAACGGTAATCTGATGATTTCCGACGTCCGTAAGCATGACGAAGGCCGATACCAATGCATTGCTAGTAATCTAGTCGGCGTTCGCGATACTCCATCTGCTGAACTTTTCGTCCACGGTAAGAAGTTCTCCGCTTTAATATCTAAGTGAAATGCTAATAATCAATATCGTTGCAGTGAAACCATTTTTCAATAAGGAACCGCAAGATGCTATCGCTCTTATAGGAAAGATGGTTGTTTTTCATTGCACCGTCGAAGGAGAGCCTACACCGAATGTTATGTGGAGGAGAGAAGATGGGAAGATGCCTTTGGGAAGGGCCCGCATCCTCGACGACAAGTCCTTGCTGATAGACAGCGTGCAGACTTCCGACGAGGGTCTCTACATTTGCGATGCCGAAAACATCGTGGGCAGCATAACGGCCAAAGCCTCGCTCGTGGTCAATTGTAAGTCCTAGGATTATTAATAAAGCCTCCAGGGCTTCATGTTTAATCAAAATCGGAAGGGAAAACAATGGGTCTGCCCCACTGTCAATTATAAATCAGTCTTGTTATAAAGGGGAACCATAATCCCATTCGTATCTCTGTCCATCTGTCTCGCGCTTTTCACATATATAAAAAAAGGCGTTATTTTTTTCGAGCGTCTAGACGTATTCCTCTCATTCATGCCGTATTCATTCGACTTTTTAAATTCAATTAAAGTCCGAGAACCACGAAATAAGGTTTAATGCTATGGATGGTATGTTGATCTTTGCTTTGTTTTGTTTGTTTCCTTAACTTATAGCGCAGCCAACGTTCACAGAGAAGCCGAGGGACCAGAAGGTTGGTTTGAACGGCGTCGTCGAGTTTCATTGCGCTGCGACGGGGAATCCGAGGCCTTCGGTGTTTTGGAGTAAAGAGGGTTCTCAGCTGCTGATGTTCCCCGACAACTCTTACGGGCACATGAACGTAAATTCGCACGGGACTTTGAGGATCCAAGGTGTTCAAAGGGAAGACGCCGGCTTCCTTGTTTGCTCGGCGCTGAGCGTCGCTGGATCCAACAGCGTGAGGGCCTTCCTTCAAGTGAGTTCAATAACGCCCGGATCCCGTTTGTTGTATTAATGGATTACTAACTTCATCTTTCTCTCTCTCTCTGTTTCTCTCACACGTTTAGGTTACTTCTGTTGCCGATCTTCCGCCGCCCATTATTCAAATCGGTCCCGCGAATCAAACGCTTCCATTGCACAGCATTGTCACTTTGCATTGCAAAGCAGCCAATCCGGAGGGAGAGCCGCCTATGATCAAGTGGCTCAAGGATAGCAAAGTCCTTCGCCAGGATCATCTGCCAGACAGATATACTTTGAGCACTTCCGGCACTTTAGACATTGACGGTAAGCTCTAACTCCACTCCTCTCTCAACCATTACCAAATATTTCACTTTGCAATTTACAACTTTACACCACTTCAGTCCGAAGAGGACCCAAGTTCAAATATTGACATTTTATATTGAATATCATATTAAAGCAGATTGCACTTAATCTGAGTTCAGTCAATTGTTGCTTCACATCATTTCAATATATATAAATGTTATATTTATTATTTTATTTACTTCAATTTGCCTTTTCTATAATTTTAAATAATTTTATAAAATAAATAAATTTGTTATTTATTGAAACATTATAGTATAAACAAGGTGTAATGGTGTAATAAATTGACGATGATCGTTGTTATGATTGTTTTGTTGTGTTTCTTGTTAATAGATTTAAGAGTTGAGGATTCTGGCGTCTACACTTGTTCGGCCACTTCGGAGAGCGGCGAGAGTTCGTGGTCAGCATCGTTGAGCGTTGTGGAGGGTTCGAGTGGTTCTTTGCATCGCAGTCCCGATCCATCAACATTCCCGAGAGCCCCGACGGCACCGAGGATTCTGAACGCGACCGAATCAAGCATCAGTCTGTCTTGGGATGGAGGTGTTGATGATGAGATGGGCTTGGTCGGATACACCGTCGAATATTGGAGCCCCGATCTACAGACCGGTTGGGTGGTAGCTGCCCATCGGGTGCCCAATCCCTACATGGTAGTGCGCGAATTAAAGCCGGACAGTTCGTACGTGTTCATAGTGCGTGCAGAGAACGCTCATGGTCTATCTCCGGCGAGTCCCGTTTCTGCGGCCGCCAGGACCCTCGCCAATTCCCGTGCTGTGCCGCGTTCAGAATTGGATACGGCGAGGACGATGTTGAGCACCAAATTGGTCGATTTACGTGACGCGAAGCCGCTGTCCTCGAGTTCGGTGAAGTTGAGTTGGACCCTAAGTAATCCCGAGTACGTGGAGGGATTATATATTCGCTTCAGGGAATTGTCTGGCGGCTCGCACAACTACAACATCCTCACCGTTTTGGATATCCGCAGCAAGAGTTATGCCGTCACGAACCTCAAGAAGTACACCAAATACGAGTTCTTCATATCTCCGTTCTACAAGTCCGTGGAGGGACAACCGTCGAATTCACGAGTAGCGCAGACCCTCGAGGATGTGCCATCCGCTCCTCCGGACAGTATAACTGCTAGATTGCATAACGATACGGCATGGTTGGTGAGGTGGTTGCCTCCTCCTCCGCAGCACCACAACGGAATTATCATCGGGTATAAGATAGAAATTAAGGGGAGCGCGGCGCGATCGATGATTACGATGAACGCCAATACAACTTCGGTGATGATAAGCAATCTCACGTCGGGGGGCACATACAATGCCCGAGTCGCGGCCTTAACTCGCGCCGGCATCGGGCCTTTCTCCAACATAATTCCACTGCAAACTACGCCGAGGGCTCAAAGTCCAAGAACCCTTGGTCCCCTGGTACCATTAATGCAGCAGCCGTGGTTTGTGGTGTTGTTGGCCATTTTGGTGGTAATTGTCTTCGTCGTCGGCGGGGGCTTCCTCTACTTCAAATACAGGCAAACTTCAACCAAGGAGTTGGGCCATTGTGGAGTGCCGGTAGTTAACGCCTCGCAGCTGAATCCCAAGGAAAGTTTGTGGATCGACAGAGGTTGGAGAGCGGCTGATTGCGACAAAGACTCATCCATACCCTTGGCTCCGCCCGCGGACTACGCCGAAGTTGATACCAGAAGTCTGTCGACTTTCTACAAATCAAAGAAATCTCCGGACAATCCTACACCGTATGCAACGACGATGCTGCTGCCTCCACCAAGCTGGTCGGAGATTATCCCGCCGCCACCGGATCATCCTCCTCCGGAGTGTCCCAGCATCCCAGCACCTCCACCAAGAGGTGGAAGCAGTTGCGGAAGTGCAGGTGGTGGATACGCCTGCTACGCCGCACACGTTGGCCAAGGCAGCCAGTGCGGAAGGGTGGCTCAGTACCATCAACCAAGGACCGGATCCTGCAACAACTGCGACACCCATTGTTCGTTGGCCAGCGGCAGCTCTGGTCGTAGATCCGCTCCCCGCGTCCACTGCCATCCACAGCACACCTGTGATAATAGCAAAGTCTGGGTGAACCAACAGTGGGAAGACGGAGGTGGCGAAGCGGACCTCGACACCGATCGCAACTCCTGCTCCAGCAGTCACGACACCACATGTTCCTGCAGTGAATCCTCTTGCCTCTACGCGGAAGCTGGCCCGTCCATCAAACCTAGACCCATCCCGCACTGCCAAATGAATCGTTGTGTCAAATAAGGAAACTGAAAACTACTTAAAAGCATGAATAACCCGTGAATAGTTGATTTTCTACATATCTTCAGACACTAGCGTGTTTTCTAAATTTATTAAAAGTTTTGAAAAAAACAATAATTGAAAAAAAAAAAAACGTCACTTCGAAAATGAGAATCTAAGGAATTTAATTAAAATTAAACAAACGAGCAAAATATTTTTATACTAAAAAAAAAACAACAAAATCAAAAAAAAATGTTTGCTTCACGTTTAAATTCCCACATCCCAACTGCAGATGATGACGTTTTAAAGAGATTGATTTACTTTTTTTTGGCGTAGATTTTTTGAGATCAATAGAGAAAGAGAAAAAGAAAAAAAAAACAAAAAACATCTATCTAATTTGTTTCGTTTTGCTAGTCCGTAGCTGTTTAAGTTACCAAGTGTCTTCCTAAATGTCCCAACTATTCACAAAACATAAAGAAAGAAAATCTAAAACTTTTTAAAAGAAATAATACTTTGTTCGTATTGGGAGACAATAATAATCAAAGCCGTTCCTTTCCTTTATTATTATTATTATTTTTATTAATATTATTATTTTACTTTCACTTAGTTCTTAACGTTATCGTGTAGTTTAAGTTTCATCGTGTCATATTGCAAGGAAAACAAAAATAAGCAAAAAATAAAAAAAAAAAATAATCGACTACAAAAAAATAAATAAGTATATAAAGTATATAATCACAAATCTTACTAGTGTATTTATGTAAGAGAAAAAGATGGTAATCATTTTCGCGCTTATGTAGGTTATAACCAAAGAAACTGCCGCCTCCTTGAGATTGTTATTACATTTTGTGTTTCCTGTAGACTTTCGAGTGGTGACTTTGTTTGACTGAATCCTATTATATTCTTCTATTAGCAATACGTTTTAGCACTGGTAAAGTGTGACCCGTGGAAAAAGTGAGGTGAAGAAAAATATTGAAATTTAAATGAAACGGAACTATTAATCATCGTAGGTTTTTATATACATTGTGATTTTAGAATAAACGAAAAAAAAGTATATATAAATACATTTATATATATTATATATGTTGTGGACTAAAATTCGAAGTAATTTTAACTGAAATTGTGTATATAGTATTGTCAGCTTGTATATATATAAAATATAAATTTTGTTAAAGACGATAAATACAACAAAAAAAGTAAACGTATAGTATATATATGAAAAGTGAGGGTGGATGTGTGAAGGTGAAGTGTTGAGAAGTATAAAGATAAGCAAAAAAAATTGGAATAAATTTGTATCTTTGTATAGACATTAAGCATGTAAGATACTGATGTAGATATTTATTTTATTTTGTTCTGTTATTTATAACTAAAAAAATAAACTTGTACTTATTCAAACTATACATTAACCCTTCTTATTATTGTTACAATCCATTATAATTTATTTTCAGATTAGTCAACATTAAAAAATAAAAAGGTAAGTAAATTTTCTATGTAATAATTTGTAATAAATTGAAGTTAAAACTCAACATTTTTTATGCAATAATAACTTACTTGTGCTAATTTTCTTAAATTATATAAGTAATAATAAGTGATCCTTTAGATATTCTTAGAATCTAAAGGATTTTCATTGCTTCATATCAAAAAATACTTTTAAAATGATATCATGCAAAATTTTGTGTGCGTATTATATAAAAATGTTAATTGTATTATTATACTTTTGTCCTAAATTAAGCGCAAGCCTGCATACGAATGCACTTTATATTTGAGATACGGCATTATATAAATTATATTGAAAAACCTGGTTAACAAGATCTCGCACAATGAACGATTCAAATGCTGTATTATGAAATTTGTAAGGTGGAATATTTTCCAGTAGTATTCCGTATTATTTTATTATTTAATTAAGGGCCTGTCGGAAAGTGGAGGAATTTAATCTGCGGCTCGTGCGGTCGTCGCGGCTTTCGTAGAATTTCTAGTCTTCCAGATTTTGGGTATTCATGAAAGCATCGGGGATTGTTTCGGAGCAGAAAGCCGGAAGCGAAGCGCAAAACCCCGCAAATAAAATCACTCGCGAATGGTATAAAACGTGAAAGGGATTTTCGGGATGAATATTATTTTCGCTGAATGAGGCCGCTCAACATTTCCAAATATTTCAATTGTACAGTCACGAATTGTTGTATCAAATCAAAATACAGAAAAATGTACATAATAGAAATAAAAAAAAAACTATGATGAATAAAGCTTTATGCAATTACCTTATTTTTTACTACTAATAATGTTATTTGAAAGAACAATGAAAAACTTTTTATTACTACTTTCTACTTTGTTATTTTGCTACTAGTAAAAATCTGATGAGGGGGAAAGAGAAGCTTTCAGCAGCGATTTGATTAATTTCGTAATTTTATTGGTTTAAATTACTTAAGTTAATCATGTTTGCCGATACTGCGTTATCGATCACGGCGTGTCTGCGTTATAAAATAAATTGCTTATAAATTTCATTATTTTTCGCTGCTGTTAAATTTCCCAATAAATTATATTATCATTAAGTGCCATAATAATTTCATCAATTTCGCCTTCATTGCAGATTGTAAATAATGCATTTCATTTCGTAAATGATATAATTTGCGCAAGCCGTTAATTTAACAAGGCGTTTGATAGAGTTGATCACGCGATTATCTTGGATAAGTTGAAAGCTTATGGATTTTATACATCGTTGGTGCACTTTGTATTATCATACTTAATCCTTATTAATACGTGATAATTTAAGATCATAAATCAATTATTTCCACTGATAAATTATTATTATTATATTTTCTTTATTACCAGAAAATACAGTATAATTACAATATAATTCCATTATCTTTACATAATATTTTATATATCAATAATTTTCCAAGAAGTAATCGAAATATCTTGAAAATCACACTAATACAAAAAGTTTTGTCTGATAAAAATGTGAAGCTATTATCACAATCTTATTATTTCAGAACAAAAAAAGTTAATTTTCTTAAGTAGTCTGTAATTGGTGTTTCAGGCAGATTTATTAAATAGTTTTCAAACCTCGTATTTTTAAAGTTGTTCAGTATTTATTTCAGTTTTCTTGTCGCCCATTTGTCTTCTAGTCTTCTATAATTTCTATAATTTTTTATGCAGTTTAGGTTTTCAATTGCACAAATATGGTGATGATTCCTTTTTAACTGCTCGTGAATTTAAAATGATTATTATCGGTGAGTAGAGGACAAAACATGACTAGGTTTCAATGTAATTCCTTGAGATGCCTTTGGTTACACAGGAGTCAAGTATATCGGGAATTTTTCTACAGTTTGTTGGCCAGTATGCGTGAATCTCCCCATAGACTAAAAAGGTATAATACCTTACAGATTTTAAAATTAGAATACCGTTTTCAAAATTGTTAAAATTAATATTTATTGTAATTTGGAAGGTTCTCAATGGGAAAATATTCCGCTCAATGTTTTGTTACAGTTTCAAAACTATTTACGCAGCATGTGGCAGAATAATTTAAATAAAAAATCTCAATTAACTCAGTAATTATTCAATGTTGTACATCCACTAATTGAAAATGAATTCCCCTAAAGGTTATCACATGTTTAAATATTCAAATTGAGCAAATTAATGAATTATTTAATAATATGTCTTTGATCTATTACATATTCCAGTGGTTATTACTACTAGAATATATGATTATTCAAAGTTTTTTTTTTGTTGTAAATATTCCTTTTGAAGTAAAATAAATATATACAAAGATGTTAGGGTGAATATTTTCTCTATTTCAACCCTTTCATTTCTGCAGTGGAAGATAATTTCCCCTTATAAATACAAATTCATTCAACATTAATATTCTCAAAAAAAAAGATGAAAATAATGAAATTTACGAGATGCTTTAAAAGTTTTCATTACTTTTATCTAAAAATCGTGATTTAATATTATTGATATTAAATTTATGACATACAACATGTGTTTTTTAATGTAAAAGTTAAAAAAAGAATTTACTAAACTTGAAATAAGATAAATTAAGCTAAATTTATTTGACAATTTATCTTTTTATGTAAATATAATGGATGAAATGTTTATACTTTTATATAGAATATACATATATTTTTATAAATATTAAAAATGTATTATTTAAACAAAATACGTATTTTATGAAATTGTTTCCTTGTTTCATAAATAAAATGAACTTTTATAAATATTCCAAATACTAACACCGGAAATTTACTAATAAATAACTGAAAATGGTTTTTTTTTAATATAAAGTGTCAAATAAAGATAAATGTTTGAAAAAAGGAGCCAATAAATATGCCTTGTAATAGCAAATCGATCCCGTGAGAACTTTGCATGTTTATTTTCTTTCTTTTTCTTAGCAGATAGTAAATAAATATTAACCTGAACATCTTTATGTGAGCTGCGTACTACCGTCGCCAATAATTTTCGCAAGTATTAAATTTCAGTTTTCGAACAGATATTTTACACGAACGTAATGCTCTGATAATTTGTGGCTGTCCATAAAGTATATTCTAAACGACATCGAGTCTACACAAAAAAAGACGGTAGGAGGAAGCAGAAGCACAAGAACAGGATGAAAAAAAAAGTGTAAACGTAGCCCATAAATATTACCACCGACGTCGGAGGATTTTTCTTGTCGAGAGCGAAAAGTGTCCCTTTAAAAGCTCCCACACAGTTTCTCACTCACTATTCCATACTTTATTTCCCATTTTTTTTTCAGTCGATTTTCATGCAGTTTTATATACTGTGCGAACATTATATTTATATGATGATTTTTTTTCACAAAGCTGATGATATAATTTATACGATTTGCTGCGCCTATTCGATCCATTATTTAAGCCCCATTGACGCTCGAAGCTTCATACATAAAACATGAAAGCTTTGCAACAATAACACTAACAACGCGAATCGAATCTATTGAACAAAATATTTCTATCGGAAACGTAAAAATAAATTTTGCAAAAAATATATTTTTTGTAATGAAATATCGAAGTAGTCGTTGCGAATCTCGTGGATTTATTATCCATTTTTTATTTGCTTCGCGTTGAATTATTTATTTTGAAAAAAAAATAAGCCGAAATGGATTATTTTTTTGCGTTTCATTATATGAGGGTAATTTTGGGGTGTGATTTGTGGTGTCGGGATTTTGTTTTTCGCGGGGGTTGAAACAGCGCTCGTAAATCAAATTAAATGGTGATTTGTTTAATTGAATCGTGTTTCTTGCAAGTGGTAACTGGTACGTGTGTGTGTTTCTCTGAGACGTAAATTTGGTAAGCATTTAATAGGGTTTCAAATGAATGGATATTATATGGTGGAATAGCAGCTGCATAATTTATCCAATGTGCCAAACAAACGGGATTTATGCGGGTTAAAGTCGGCTTTTAGCGAATCTGTAGATAAATACAACGTAACCGAGGGTTTAATTATAATCCAGCCTCTAAATAACCCCTCGCCCCCGAATTTATACCGGAAACCCACGCGAAATCTTTTTTGCAATTCAAATTAAATTTCCACACA